AAATTGTTTTTTGTTAATTTCTGCCAGGCCTATTACTTTTTTCGCCTGTTTTTTTGTGCAGTGAGCAAAAACAGCGCAGAAAAGAACACGCGAAAAAGTAGTTAGCCACTTATGTGTAACTGCTTTCGCAGTCATGGATACAACGGAAGACAAAAGCAAGATGTCAAATTGGTTTAATTTTTCTGCATACATGAAGCTTCTCCATTCTTTTAAGTGAATTCATGTTGAAGTGTACAAGTCCAGTGTTCTTGTCAAATCTTGTTCACTCCTTGGGGAGCTCCTCCGACGGAAGCGATAAATGACAGGCATTGCCAACGCCAGCGCACGCAGCCTCCTGCCTGTTGTGTTCCACGGCTGCACGTACAATATTATAGCAAAAATAGTTAGGCACACGTCACAGAAGATGTAGATGCACGCGTATGACATGTACGTGCACATTATTATAAAAACGAGCATTAAAATATGACACACAAATAACTTTACTTTCACACCTGGCACAGTCCTTCTGAAGCTGCTCTGACAAAAGAGATGGATGACGGGCATCGCAGACGCCAGCGCACAGTCTTCAGCACGGTGTGTGCCCACGGCTGCACAATAATTATGTTAAATAGTGAGTCACACATGACACTGGATGAATACAAATGCATATGAGAAATACGTGCAAGGTTAAATGAAAATGTATGAGATATGACATGCTAATAATTTCACCGTGATGTCACACATCGTGAAAAACTCATTTCGATCCCCGTAGCGCAACATTTTAGGAGCGGCGGCCGCAGTCACAACTCCGCGAACCACCGTGCCACTAACAAGTCAGCGAGTCCTAAGCGAGCGACGTCATTCAGCTCGAGCAAGCGAACGCGAGACCAAACACGGCACTGCACGCGGAGTGTCTGCCACCAGCGAACTTCGAACAGGAGATCGGGCATACGCTTGACCGCCGCCACGAACAGCGTCGAGCTGGTTTATAGCTAGCGCCGAAGAAATCGACGGTAATGCGGCCCTTTTCCACAACCTCGAGGGAGTGTGACGCGCAAACGCGACTCCGCCGCCACGGACAACGGACGGCGCCCAGCTGCTTGCGACCAACAGACAGGAAAGCCAACTGTAATGGCGACCAATCCGACGCTAGCGAAAGACCGGCCAGCCCGTGCAGGCGCACTTACAGCGCGCGACATACTACAACCAAGCTCTTTACGAGAACGCGCAACTTGTTTTCGACGACTCTCAACACAGCGACGAGGTCTCAGCCCAATATTGCCAACCCGGAGCTCATCACGGTGGCAAAGACAGGCTAGCTCTCGATCAGCTAGCGTACGGGAGGCCGACGGCAATATCGGCCAATTTCCAGGTCTTCGCAAAGCACAGGTGAACTGCAGACGCCCAAGCTGACCTTCGCGGTGCATTTCACGCGTGCGATATACAGCACGACCGAGCCCGTTGCCGGCAAGCGCGATCCGTATTGCACACACGACAAGTAAAGTAGAATAAAGAATGATAACCTACTTGCGAAAGAATCCAGCGCTGATTTCTGTCCTGAATCAGAGTGAAGTATACAACCGATAGGTCTGCTGGCTTCTCAACCACCATGTTGGCCTTCCCAACTGTTGCTGTCGTGTGTTGGTCGAGACTATCTTGAAGCGAGAGAGATATACAACGTGGCGTGGGGACCTGTCGAGGCTTGCTCCAGACTTCATGGGTGCAGCTAAACGTAAAAGCAGCAGCCCACTGCTCATCCAGGCGTACACATAAGCACCACATCGTAATTCTTAGATCGTCTAATCTAAGCGGCCAGTCGTCGAGCACCCCGGGTGCGACGCTACGCAACCGCCGCCGGCAAAATACGGGGAAAGTATGAGCCAGCAGAGCAGGAGAAGGACATGTGTTCTGTGGAGAGGAAGGGCTGGTCACCTTGGCAACGCTTTTCACACTGCCTGCTAATGCCCGGGCGGTTTATCTCTAGTAGAGAGTAAATGGTTTCGTGCTGCACGCTTCCCTCTGCGGTTGCTTCTCAACGGTCTCTCTGTTCATTGCGCGCGCATATTGGGCTCCATTACTCCACTTTTGGGTAATTTTGCCTTAGAGTGTACACGCAAACCTGCCTCATAGACACAAGATATTGCACGTAGAAAGGCTCGTGGCACGCTACTCAAGCCAAGAAAAATATTTTAGAGCAGGAGTTGGCACTGTGCATTGCTATGCCAAGCTGCGAAGACAGAATGCCAGCGTCGCTACCGCCACGGAAGCAGTAAAACCGCATGATTCTGAGGATGTCGGCGAAGAGCTTCGAGGAGCGGACGATGATATTGGAAGAATCGAATGAGGCTGCCCAGATATTCTGCATCCTATCACAACAGTTCCTGGGTGGACTACAGCTCCTCCGCTTCGATAACGAACATATGTGGCCCACACCACAGTCAAAACGCTGTTGACGAGGTAGGTGTAGCCTAACTGAGCCGGAGGGGATGACGAAGACAGGACCCAACCGGCAATGAGGTTGAGTGGCTCGTATGGCAAAGGTTTTCAGGATGACTACGACGACGGTACGACTACGTCGTAGCTCCGAGGGTGGCATCGGAACAGCAATAATGTTCTACTATGGTTAGAGTGCATCAGAGTGGCCACCAAGACGCCGTTTCAGCAAGAGACAAATTAGGGTCAAGGATCAAAGTTGTCTTTATTCAGTTTTAGTTATGATTTCGCTTGTATAGCCGATTATTGTGTACTTGTTTATTTTGGGGGTTGCATTCTGAGTGCCAGATAACTGTTTGCCATTTTGTTTCGTGCGATAAAGTGTCTTTCCTCTACCACACTCGTCGTTCCCACGTCTCTCTCTCAAATACATCCTTCACAAGCACTCCCGAGACAAGTTCATGACTTTAGTAAGGCAAGTTGTCACAGGATTTTGTCTTTGTGCGGCCAGGTCACATTATCGTCGGGGGCTGCAGGGATGAATTGGCAGAGGATACTGAGAGTCATTCGCGAGCGAGTGTTCAATAAGGACGAGGGCCTAAGGTTTATTGAAGATGAGTGAGAACGACTTAAAGACGAGTTCGAGGCAAGACGTACCTGAACTAGAGGCAACGACGTGCTGAGCTCGAAGCCAAGCATGCAATAACACTTCAATCGTGTGCGCCTGAAAAACGGGAACTCGAGCGCAAACTTCAATTGGTACAAGCTAAAGGGGGCATTAAGCGGGTGAGAGAAAAGTCGCAGAGGTCTTACAGAGGGAAGTTAGCACGCTCGGCCGACGAATTTCAGATTCAGTTGAGCCAAAGGGCAATGAACAGGTGTGTTACGCAAGTGCGACGAGGTTTCAAAGTGATGAACTGAAGGAGACGAGCTCAGAGGCGGCAGATAATTATAACAAGGCGCCGCTTAAAGAAGTGCATGCTACTGTTTCGAAGAGGGCACAAAGAAAGCGAAAGCGATGCCTACAGAAAACAGTGAGGCAGGGCTTAGCGCCTTCGGTGATGAACATGCATATTGAGAAAAGATTCACGGCGAAAGTGCCAGAAAAAGCATGAGAGAGGAATAAGGTGAAAGAAGTGCCGCATACGCGCGTGGTAAAGTAAATGGAACGTGGTCAGCTCCAAAGGAATAGGCATGTCGTGGCAACCATCACTACGCGAGGAAGGTTGGTAATGTGGTGAGCGTTATACGCACAAGAACAAGAGCGAGGAAGGTTGCGAGAATGTATAAAGGTGATTTCAGACATTGGGAAGCACAGAGGGTGTTGCAGAGATAAAGCGCAGCCTGGGAAAGTCCATTTGAAGAGGCGTAGAATAGACAGACTGTGAGATCAGCTGTAGCGAGCATTCGAGACGCTGGGCAACGAAAATCGGCTCCGGAAAAAGTTGAAGAAGACGCAAAATGTAAAAAAAAGCACTGACTCAAGCTATAGTTGTGTGCAGTTGGAAACTGCATTAGTAGAAAAACATTTCGGACAGGTATTGGATTGTATTTTGACAGGCTTTTGGAATATTTAGTGTTAGGTACAATATGCAGTCATTCTTGAGAGTGTATCCTAATATTGTGATATGTGGACATGCGAACAGTCAAGCAAAGTGATTGACACGTTTTGGTGAAAGTGCAGAATAGGTTGTTGTGCTGACTGAAAATCAGTGAAAACGTGTGGCGAGGGAAGGTGACGCCCCCGCCCCGGCACGTATGGCCACAAGTTACACAACCGACAGCAGAAAAAAAGGCCCAAACTAGAAAGGAGGAAAAGAGCAGTTCTAAATGCGAAGCATTTCTTGGTGAACTTCGGCGACTCTGAGCGTACCCTTACAGAAATGCCATATATGGCATTTATATAGGTAGTATGTGGCCCCATATAAGCATATACTTCAGCATGTGTGGCTTTCGTTTATCATATATAGATGTATATCTGGCGGGGTCGGTTAATATATGGGGTTATATACAGCCATATATGGCGCGCTTCGTCCATATAACGAGCGATTTACTGGATATGTTATATATGGCGTGGCCGTGCCTTATAAGGCACGGCCACACGATATATAACATATCAAGTAAATCGTCATAAGTGGAAGGGCTCCCTTACCTGGGATGAACCACGTATATATAGCACCAAAATCACAAGCCCGTAGCCTGTCGTCGTGCTCTTTTCTTGTGCTACCCCATACGAGAATATCATCCACGTACACTCGGGTTCCCGGGATGGTATCGAATATTTCAGTCATGCACTTCTGAAACACCTCTGAGGCTGACGCTATTCCGAAAGGAAGTCCGAGGAATCTATAGCGTCCAAAGGGGGTGGTAAACGTGCATATTCTGGATGTTTCCTCATCAAGTAGAATCTGATGGAACTTGGAGCTGGCTAGGCGAGAGAAAAATTTTGCTCCTGCAAGCCCTGCCTCAATGTCCTCGCGGGGCGGCATCTAGTAGTGCTCGCGCTTCGAACACTCGTTAATTTTTCTGGAATCCAGGCATATGCGCAGTTTACCGTCCTTCTTTGTGGTGATCACCAAAGGGCTTACCCAGTCTGTTGGCTCTTCCACCTTAGAAATTATGGATGCCCTCTGCGTCTGGTTGAGTTCAGCTCGCAGTGGTCCCTGGAGAGCCAAGGGGACTCGTCTGGTGACCTGCACAAAGGGAACGCTGTTCGGTTTCAGTACCATTTTATAGCGTCGTTGAATGCAGCTAATACCCCCGAAGACATCTTGGTATTCCTGCGCAACTTGTTCGCTTATGTTCGTCGTAATTTCGCTGAAGCACCTTGTGAATAGTCCAAGACGTTCACTCGCAGGCAGGCCAAGAATCGCTTGCCGCCCTTTTTTCACAACAAAAAATGGGACGATGACAGTCTTTCTGCCGAGGCTGACGTTTAGCGTCATGGTCTCAAAGTGCTTTATAGCTGATAAGAATGCAGTATTGCGTTGCTCGGTGCTAGTTGTGCTTTTGGGTTGAGCTTGTGATACGTGCTGTACGGCAAAAGGTTTGCTTGCGCACCTGTGTCTATCTTAAGGGTCAGGTCACCGTTCACCACTTGTGCTTGCACGATCCAATCCCGCTGATTTATCACGCTGTCAATCGAAACGTCTAGAATCTCGAAGTCCTCCTCACTGCTCTGAACCTCTGCTACTTTTGTGCTCTTGCATCTTGCGGCAAAATGACTTTTTCCTCCGCACCTTCGGCAAATGCGACCGAACGCCAGGCAGTTTCGTAGACCATATTGCCGCCCCCACCTACGGCACTGGAAGGTCGTATGCTGTTCCTCATAAGTTTTCTTCACCCGGTCGACCTGTCGTTTCTCCCGTCGCCACACGTCGTGCTGCGCCGCCGACAATTATACCACATTGCATACATGCTCGGCTTTGGCTTTCGTTAATTCGTTGTCACGCAGCAGTTTCTCGAGGACTTTCTCCCTGTTAGTTCCATAAACGACTTGGTCCCTAATCATTGAGTCTGCCATTACATCAACGTTACAGGACCTCGAGAGCTTCCTCAAGTCTCGAATTAACTCTTCTGAAAGCTCACCATCAGCTTGAACTCGTTGCCTGAACAGGTAACGCTCGTGCACTTCGTTCTGCTTGGCTGTGCAGTATTCATCAAACGTCTTCCCCACCATGTCGTAATCCTCTTTGCTCTCACCTTCGAGGAACGTGAAGTTGTTGAAAACCTCCAAGGTGGTGTCACCGGCCTAGCTCAGCAATAGGGCCGTCTTCGTTGCGCTTCCACGGGGCTCGGGGCCGGTTTCTGAGGCGATGAGGAAGAATTCAAACCTCTGTTAATTAGCTGTTAATGCTTACTGATGTCGCCGTCGAAGCGTATCAGTTCGGGGGGCCTAAAAAATTCCATTCTGCTGGTCGCTGCATCTTGCTGTTCAGCTCGACGTAGCTTCAAATCCCACTTCTGACACCATGTTTCGTGTTTGCGTGACAGCCGCTGATAGTGAAACAAAGCCTTGACGAGAAGAACCCCTCAGTTTATTCGGCGGACAGTTTTATGACACACATTGGGAAAGAGCGGAGTGCACAGGAAAGGTGAATGTACACAGCGAGTATGCGCCCACGGGGCTCGGGGCCGGTTTCTGAGGCGATGAGGAAGAATTCAAACCTCTGTTAATTAGCTGCCAATGCTTACTGATGTCGCCGTCGAAGCGTATCAGTTCGGGGTGCCTAAAAAATTCCATTCTGCTGGTCGCTGCATCTTGCTGTTCAGCTCGACGTAGCTTCAAATCCCACTTCTGACACCATGTTTCGTGTTTGCGTGACAGCCGCTGATAGTGAAACAAAGCCTTGACGAGAAGAACCCCTCAGTTCATTCGGCGGACAGTTTTATGACATACATTGGGAAAGAGCGGAGTGCACAGGAAAGGTGAATGTACACAGCGAGTATGCGCCGCCACGATGACAAAAACATTCCACACGCGCGGGGGGCTGAGGCGCTTGCCGCGGCTATCACACACGATACAGAAGCCAGGCCTTGAACATAGGCAAGAGGACTGCAGTGGTCCAGTGTTATTTGCGTGCTCCATAGTGTGTTGTGCAGGCTTGGCATCTCCTTGTTGGTGTCTCCCAGATTTGCTGTGGGTGAAATTGTTTGCAGAATACTGTGCCGTTTCACGATACTGCAATCTGTTTAGGTTTTCTTACCAATAACACAGTGTTTTCAGCAGGCGTACTTTCTTTATGTTTGTGTCTACTGTGTTTGTTGTGAGTGATCCTCCTTCTGCATTAGTGTGGCATTTGATGACGGTGCAATTTGATGTTTATATTTGCTTGCTGACTGGGTGTTCTGCAGGCCCGGTGTTTGCTGTGTGTGCCGTGATTGATAGATTTAGCATTGACAGAATAACACACATTTTTACGATCGCTTCAATTTTTTCATTTTTAGCCGATCTTTACTTACACGCAGTTATTAAGAAGACATGAAATACTTTTCTGACAATGCGAGTTCCCAACAAAGCTGTAAGAGCAGAGCACGCGAAATAGCTGCTCTATTGCATTTTCATCAGTCACAGACAATACGCGACACTTGAGTACTGCAAACAGTTGTCAAGGCAGTTTCCAACCAGAATGGGCACCCTTTTTTGTCTGAAAGCTCAGAATGTCTATACATTTATTGCGACTTCGACTGTCCTTCTAAAATTTCTGCGATCAACCCGCCTCGTCGAACGTTTGTGACATTCTAGTGTGTGTGTTTTCTCTTCCGCCCGCTCTCTTTTTCTGTCTCATTCCGTTTTCCTTACCTTTCTGTCTCCCTTCCCCAGTTCAGGGTAGCAAACCAAGTGAACGTCCCTGCTTTTCTTCATACTGTATTTCTCTCTACTTCTCTTTCGACCGTGATTTTACTTTATTACTATATACAGTTACTGATTTTCCTGTTTGCAACCTGACTGCGGAAGAGTTTCTATGTATTGTGGCCCGACATTTGCTTGCCGGCAGTGCTACAGCGATCTACCCTATTTGAGTGAGTGAGCTGGCAGCATACTCGGCCACCTTCTGAGTGAGATCCAGTATCCACATGCGGAGTTCGCGCTTGTGCATTTGTCAGTGCCATCTCTTTGTGTGGCTGTGACGAGCTTCCCAAAGATGGAGGAGATAGTTTTTTATATCCGCATGGCTATCCGTGAGCTGTATTTTGGTTTCTTTCTTTGTGTTTGGAGCAAAGAGTGGGTCCGCTCGGAATGACCGTCCTCTAAGATGGTAGAGGCAGGTAAAGACTGCTGGAAAGCTTCCCAGTTGGGTTGGTAAGCATGTGCGATGGAGTATTTGAGGGGTCATGTAGAAAGTGTAGTGTTGAGAATGCAGTAGTCACTACCAAAGGTTTCCTCGGTATTGAACCAGTCTGCATGTCTGATGTTTTTAATGATTGTTAGGTCGGGGCAGGTGCCCCGGCTGACAGAGTTACCTACACGAGTTGGTTGCGCAGGATCTGTGTGAAGAGTCATTGCCATGGTGGAAGTTAGCTCCGCAAGTTTACTTCCATGCATCTCTTTTTTGCGATAGCCCCAAAGCCTCCTAGGGGCGTGGAATTCACCCACTAATTAAGAGGTGTCGGGCCCTGCGAGCTTCAGTGCCCTGCTGAAGATGCCAGCGAGTGTGAATTGTTTTGTTTGGATTGGCAATAAATATTGAGGATGTGCACTCGGGGGTCGGTTCTGCGCAGGGGAAGAACCATGACTATAGTGTACTAGTACGGTATTTAAATTTCTAGGTGAACCTCTTGTGTAGTTAATGTTTTGTGTAAAAGAAGGTAGGTGAATGGGTCCCGTTGAAAAGTGTTATAACCTGGAGTCGTACGGCGTTTTCGGGCTCCTGAGGGCCAACGAAAACGCACAGGTGTTCAAAGGTTTCAAGATAGATGTGGAAATGGGCCCGTTTTGCCCAATCCTTGAAGCCTGTACAGTTCCCCGGAATTACACAGAGAAGCTGAGGTTTTAGGGGTGGCGATGGGGAGCAGCGATTAAGATGTGTCGTCATATTGAGAATTTGGGGTGGCTGGGAGGGACTCTACTTCTACGTCGGCGTCCTGTGCAAGTAGGAGGTCGGAGTCTTCGGAAGATATAGCGAGGTTTAAAGGGATGGTTCACGTCATTCAGGGGACAAGGCCTTCGGCTTCGATAGTTTACGCCATGGAGCCAAGTTACAATGTTCATTAACATTCGTTGGGTGACAGTGTTCGAAAGAGTTTCAATGCTTTAGCTTATGGTGATGAGTTGTGTCATTAAAGCAGTCATAGTTTTTCAATAACCTGAAATCGCTCTTCAATTTAAGAGGGCTCCGACACGGATGCAATGACGCACATGGGCATTGCTTCTTGAGCGGTATGTGGAATATTGGTGAGGAATGATGATGGAGGACTGGTACACGACCTTTCTCCAAAGCGAATATTTTGGCTTCAAGCTGCGCGTTCTGTGACCACAGTGCAGCTAGCTATTGTTTGAGCTCGAGGACTTCGGGAGAGGAGGCAGAGGCGGCCCTCGCCCCGTCGCCTACCTGAGAAGCTGTTTTCTCGGCCAGCCACCTGTGGGCGCTGGTGTCAGTCAGAGGTGGAAAAGTCCCCAGCTGAGAGCACGGGAGCTCCCTGGTCGGATTTCTTGGATGGCATATGCTGTGACTTTGATGTCTTAGGTGGAGGTCGTGTTTGCTGACTGTTCCTTCCAGTAGCAGGGTTTTTTTTGGTGGCTTGGTTGGTAGCTCTCGGTTGACGTCATTCTGGCATGACATCAGATGTCTTGGGCGTTGACTACTGATTCGACGAGCCGTGGCTGCCATGATGCCCACACGGCTTCTGCAGGCAGCGAAACCTTGCTTTTCAGGCTTGGGATTTAGGGAAGTGTTCTTCGCCGCACACCAGTACTATGTTATGCATTAGTGCGGCGCCATCCCACCGTCAGAGGCACCCGCAACTTGACCACAATGACCGCAGCGTTGGTCGTTCGGGCGGGGATATAGCTCCACTCGGTAGCCCACCACCCCGCAACCGTAGCAGGCTGGAATGGTGCATTTGTAATCGCGTACTGGTATCACAACGCCGTTGTAGGGCACAAAACGTGGCACGCGGCGGCTCTCGAAAGTTATAAGGGCCACAGAAGTCTTGCCAAGCTTTCTGATGAAAGTGATGCTTCCACTATGTTGTCAGTGGGTGTTTGCTTTCAAGAAGGCGGAGGTCTCCTGCTTGTGCAACATAATGACGCCACGGCCCACTTCCCCACTGATATTGGCGTGGCCGATCATCATTAGGGGACCTTGTGATGTTTTGAGCGAGAATTCTTGTGAGGGAAGGTTCGCAGCTTCGATGCCTTTGGTTGAGGCAAGGATAATATTATGTTTCCACATGGGTCACACACTGATGGAATCACTCATGGCTGAGTTCACATATATTATTTATTTATTTATTTATTTATTTATTTATTTATTTATTTATTTATTTATTTATTTATTTATTACATACTGCTGACCTGTTTACCAGGTCTTAAGCAGGAATGGGCATACAGAAATGTTTACTACAAAAACATAATTGACACCACACAGCATACTGACAGTGGTTACAATTCAACACTTTTGTATTAATTTACAAAAAACTAAAGAAAAACAATACAATGGCATAGCTTTGCTGACTGAAACGTACTAAAAAATGGAAGCATTGCGTAACTTTGGCTGCATGACTGTACAAAAAACTGTTAGTGGTTATTGAGAGCATGTAGAAATAAATCAACTGTTGGACAGTGTGCAGCATCGGGTGATAGGCAATTCCACTCACGGGTAGTTCTTGGAAAAAAAGAATACCTGAATGTGCCTGTGCGGTTCACGTAATCTAAAGCTTTCTTTGAATGATGTGAGCGCACAGCATATTCACTTTGTCTAATGTGAACTGTTTTGTTGATACCAATTTTGTTGTGGATAATGAGGTAAAAAAGCTTGAGCCTATCCATTCTTCTTCTCTCCTGTAGTATTTCTAGATCCGCTTTAATTAGTAGAAGTGAAGGGGGAGTACGCCAACTATAACAATTAACAACAAATCGGACAGATTTTCTTTGGAACATTTCTAATTTATTATTATTGGACTCAGTAACGGATCCAACACTGCAGCTCCATACTCTAACACTGGTCTAATGAAAGTTTTGTACGCGAGAAGTTTAATGTGTGGTGTGGCATTCACAAGCCTCCTTCGCAAATAGCCAAGCTTTTTCATTGCCTTTCTTTCAATATATTCTATGTGTTCATTCCGTTTTTAGTCTGATGTTAGCATGAGTCCTAAATATTTGTGTTTAGTGACTTCGGATAACGCATGGCCATTGACGTGATAGGTAAATAGGAGCAGCTGTTTCTTACGCGTAATTCGCATTGCTACTGTTTTTTATAATTAATTGTCATCTGCCAATTTTCACACCTTGTTTGTAGCGTTGCTAGCGCAGTATTAAAGATTCTTAATCACTGTAGCTTTAAATTTCCTGATATAGTTACAATCGTCCACGAAAAGCTTTATTTTTACGGGAAAATTTAGCACAATATCATTAATAAATGACAGAAAAAACAACGGCCCTAAAATTGACCCTCGAGGCACACCCGATTTCACGGGGGCGGAACTCGAGGTGACACCATCAAAGGCAACACATTGGCTCCTCATTGAAAGATAAGCAGTTATCCATGCAAGTAATTTCTCATTTTTCAGAATTCGTTTGAGCTTAATTAGTAATTTCTGGGGACTCACACGATCGAAAACTTTCTCAAAATTCAATAATATAACATCTACTTGACCATTCTCATCGATCGCTGCTGCTAGGTCATGACACGCCTCAATAGGCTGGGTTACCGTAGAATACCCTTTGCGAAAGCCTTGCTGAAGGGGCGTGATTAGGTTATTTCTTTCGACAAACATAGAGAAACGTTTGAATATTATATGCTCTAGAATTTTGACACTAGTGCACAGCAAGGAGATAGGCATAAACGAGGATACAAGCAAATGGTTATCAGTTTTCGGTACTGGAGTGATGTTGGAGATGATTTAAAGATCAAGCATAGGTATTTGGCATTCCATTCAGCATACCTTATCAGAAAGGCGTTAGGTACAGAGTCAATGCCCGGTGATTTTTTTGGATCGAGATTAAGCAGAAGCGATAAGACACCCCCTTCAGTGATACAGACAGCATCGATAGGTGGCGTGATGTCATAGGTGATGAAATCAGGGGTAACGTCATTATCACACGTGTACACCGAACAGAAGTAATCATTCATTGCCCCTGCTATTTCCCTCTTGTCGGTTACCGTTATATATAAGCTTGATACTGAACTTTTTTTGGGTGAAAGATATTGCCAAAACTTATTTTGTGACGTCAAGAGAAACTTTGTCAGAGCCTCGCTTTGATATTATTCCTTTGCACTTTTCAATTTGACTTTCAGTGTGACGCATCTCTGATATATTATTTAGTACAGACAATGATGGTCGCTCTATTTGTCGCTTTCTTGTCTTCTTTAGCTTGCGCCCTAGGCGTACGATTTCTTTCGTAATCCAGGGGCTAGACCGGTTTAATACCTTGCGTTTGTGAGGAACAAAGTTTTGGGTACATTTATTTATTAGGTCTTTAAAAAGCACCACAATCGCTCAACAGAACATTCACTTTCTTTAGAAACCGTTAGGAAATCGGAATGAGAATGATCAAGATCGTCTATCATGTCCACATCACTAGCACGCGAGAATACGGGTACAAAAACAGACTTTTTATCAGGCATTTTAGCATAGTACAGTTGAAAGCTTAATGACACAATTTTATGGTCCGAAATGTTGTTGTAAATTTCCATTACCGAACTGCGGTTATATATACCTCTACTAACAAGAAACAGGTCTAAAATTGTGCTAGATTCATTTTGGATGCGAGTGAGCGTTTTCACAAGCTGCGTCAAGTCATGGAACAGCAAAAAATTAAGAAAAGATACAGATGCAGCAGAGATGGCTTGTGGAAATTCATCCGACCAATTTATCATGGGAAAATTAAAGTCGCCACCGATTAAGACGTTGTAACTACTCGTTTTATACTGGCACAAAAACTCATTTAATTGTTCTACAAACTAATCACCACAATTGGGCGGACGGTAAAATCCCCCAACGGCAACATGTAGCTCATCAAATAACGCTTTAACGACAACACATTCAATTCCCTTATTATTGGGTAATCGTGTCACATATAGCGATTCTCGAAACATGATGACAACACCGCCACCACGGGAATCTCTGTCATTACGGTACATTTTGTAGCCTGGTGGCGTTATTTCATCATCACCTATGTATCGGCGTAGCCACGATTCTGTAATTATTAACATATGCAGTTTGTGGGCTATTACTACACTTTCTAATTCAACGACCTTGTTAATCAAACTACGGGCATTTATATTAAGACAACGAAACTGCTTAGTTTCCTTGCTTTTATGTCACTTCTTATCTCGCAGCCTGCTACTGCGTCGACTAATAGGAACCTTTTTCATGTGAATACTGTCCCATTCATACGTTTCGTTATCAATTCGAATTTTATCATATGACCATTTCACCTTTACTCCCGCTTTCCTGCTATCAGAGGCACTATCCCATAGGTTCTTTCGGATTTGCCTCGTGGCTGCCGAGAAGTCCTCGGACACAGAAATGCCCATTCCTTTCAATTTAGAACAGTTCTTCAGCACGTGTGTTTTTTCCCTGTCATCTATCAACTTTAAGATCACAGGTCTAGGTTTGTCGGGTTGCTTACGCCCCATTATGTGTAGTCTTTTGACAGATTTTACCTCTACACCAAGCTTAGTTTTGAACAAGTCTTCAACTATTGCCGATTCCACCTATTCTGGTGTTTCTCTAGGTTTTTAAGGAATGCCAAAAACCAGAACAATGTTTCTTCTGCTTCTGTCTTCTGAATTCGCCAGTCTTTTTTTCTAGTCATTGCACAGTTTTTCGAGATTGGCGACTTTGTTGGTCCGTTCCGTGAGGGTTCACACTGATGTTTCTACCTTTTTAAGTTTCGACTCTATAGTATCAAGTCGTTTATGCATAGTCTTTTGGTCTTCAAGAAGTTCTTTCAACATTTGTTCAGTAGGCGGACTTGGGTTCGATTCGATATCGCCACAAAGCTTCAATAGAGACAGTACTATGTTCCGCGCGTACAGGTAACACATGCATAAGCTGGGGGGGGGGGCACGTCAGCTGGATAAAGCAAGGATCACTAGTTTTGACACAGGAATACTTGCTACTAACCTGCATAAAGGAAACCAAAGGGTTGGTCATGGCTGTTACTGGCGGCCAGCCGACGTGCCCACTGTAGGAAAGCCGTGATGTTGGGCTGCTTATATCGGTGTCAGTCGATGACGGTGGTGGCGTCCAAGAGTTGAGAACAAGGGATGCCTCTTCTGCGCAGCCGCCGAAATAGATCGGCGCAGCGCCAACGGAATCCACTATCTTGTTTGATGCATCGGCCGTGAATGTCGCCCGTGCCAGAAGCAACTGCATAAAGAAAGCCAAAGGGTTGGTCATGGCTGTTACAGGCGGCCAGCCGACGTGCCCACATATGAGGAGGAGTTGGCGCCTAGTTCACCTGGTTTAAAGGTAGCTTTAAGATCCACCTTGACTCGAGGCTTCAGCACGCTGGTGAAGTGTTCCGCAGCAATGCGGGGCATAGCAGTAGGCCACCACGATACACGGATTGTCTTCTTTTTAGGTGGGATATTCGCGGATGTGGCCTAATTGAAAGCTGAGCCCATGGTAGCTTCAGATTGCTGGCGACGCTGGCGGAAAACCACCATGGTGAACAGTCCCTTATTCACAATATCTGTTGGTGAAGCGGAGTTTTTGGGCATCGAGGTAGAAACTCCATTCTGTGCCAACTTTGTGAGATCACGTCCACGAAGAGCAGTGGCGGCCATGCGTGGCTGCGACCACAAAGAATTCTCTGTGCAATCAGCGTTCGATTCAATGCTCGGTCAGGCGAGCGTAGCCCCACTGTGTGAGGCGAACTAGTGGGCATAAAATGCCCAAAAGTTAGCCCACCTGAATGAGAGAGGTGGCTTCTGGCACCGAACAATGGTAGTACGATGATAGGTTATCTTGATGAAATGTATTTCACCGGCCCTCACGAACACGATATTGCCACCAGCACGTAGTGGGTCGACAGCAAGAGCGGCTATCAATCTGGAGGAAAAAGAAGATCGCGTGCTTCTTTCTCTGCTCGAGAGCCAGCCACGACTGACGCATCGTTCTAGAGATTGCTACCCGGTGGTTTAATAAATCCCCCCAGTACTTGTGACTCATCGTGACAAACTGGTGGAATTGCTGGGTAGTCTCACGGATGGTGCAGACCCCCCCAGAAAGCCGTGATACGAGTCCAGTGCCACTCAATACTCCCGTCATCGGACCAGCCGCCGAATCAGGGCATTGCCTCCGGAAATCGACGATACTGCTCAAACCACGTCGACAAACATGACCAGCGCTTCGGTTCAAACCTCGTCAGCAGGCACGGGAAGCACGACGTCGAACCGCTATACGTTGGAAAGCCCACGGGCACCGGCGATGTTCCATGGCACGGAGCACGAGGACGTTGAGGACTGCGTGGCGGACTTCGAGCGTGTAGCCACCTTGAATCAGTGGAACGACGCGGCGAAACTGGGTCGTGTCTATTTCTATCTCGAAGACGGGGCACGTACGTGGTATCAAAACCGAGAGGAGCAGCTGACGACGTGGCCCGAATTCTCTCCTAGACTTTTGCAGACCTATGCCAGTGCTGATCGCCAAAGAATGAGCTGAACGAGCTATTCTGGCCCGCGTCCAGTTGCCAAACGAAACTGTGACCACGTACGTCGAAGACATGACGCGCCTTTTCCGACGGGCCGATTCAAGAATGACGGAGGACAAGAAGTTGCGTCACTTGATGCGCGGTGTCAAGGACCAGCTTTTTGCCGGCCTCGTGCGCTGCCATCCGAAGACGGTCGTGGAGTTCTTGTCCGAGGCCGTGACAATGGAAAAAATGCTGCAGCAGCGATCCAACCAATACGACAGGCAAGTCAGTGGCATGTCTACTGCCGACATTTTCACCGCCACCAGAACCAGCAACGATCATCTACGTGAACTCATCCGTGATATAGTACGTGAAGAGTAGCAAAAGGCTGGTGTAACACCTCATCCTACGGTTAGCTCAATTGCAACTGTGATCAAGGGTGAGCTGCACCAGGCCCTCCGGAACGCCTTGCCTCCTGATACACCTGCACCAGCTCCTGCTGAATACCGCCGTGAGACAACCTACGCGGCAGCCTTGAAACGCCCTGCTGCATCGCCACCATTACTCGTCAATCCTGTTCCTGCTGTTGCACTCCAGTCAGCACAGCACATACCGTACTACGTAGGCACGTGCACGCCACCGCCTTTGCCCTTTGTCCCTGGCGCTCCTGGCGCCCATCGTTCGGTGCCACCAGTTCAGTACATCGACAATCGGCGCACGTCTCCTCGGAAGTCTGATGTTTGGCGCACACCTGATCACCGGCCTCTGTGATTTCACTGTGGAGAAGCTGATGACTTGTACCGCCAGTGCCCATATCGCCGTCTTGGGCTTCGCGGCTTCTCTGCGTACTCACTGCCACCGCGTTACGGCCAGAGACCACGCGAAATCAAAAACTACCTCGCCCAGCAGCACGCACCACCGTCTGCCGGGCGCCAGTCGCGCTCGCCATCACCGAGGCGATTTTCATCAACGCCCCAGCGGTATTCTACCACACGATCTCCCAGCCCCCGCCGGGAAAACTAGCCCAAGCGACCTCTGGGGGCGGGGTCGCTGAACGTCGAAGCGCTGAAGACCTCCTATTAACGCAGAACCGTTAAGAAACCGGTCCGACATCACATACTGCTGCAAACGATGGCCGACTTTCACTCGACATAGCAGTGACAATTGATGGTTGTGCCATTAATGCGTTAGTGGACACCGGCACCGACTATTCCATACTGAGCGGGAAACTGACAACGCAGCTGAAGAAATTCATCACGCCGTGGCACAACTCGCAGATTCGGACAGCTGGTGGCCACGTCGTTACTCCACTGGGTGCCTGCACAACTAGAGTACAGATCCAAGGGTATACATTTGTAGCAAGCTGCCTCGTTCTACGCGAATGTTCCCGTGACGTCATCCTTGGAGTTGACTTTCTACAGGAAAATGGAGCTATCAGTGATCTGCAAGAGCGCCGCGTCACGTTCTCAGCCCAGCGAGCAATCAACGTGCAGGATGACGGAAAGCGTGTCGACGTACTCCGTATTTCTGAACAGAGCGTGACGCTTCCTCCACGAGCAAGTGTTCTAGTCGACGTAACATGCTGTGGTTTCGGCGATGGCGATGTGGTGGCCGAGACAAATTTAGAACACCTCCTGCAGCAAGGCATTTGTGTAGCTAGAAGTGTAATACACCTTCGTGATGGCCAATCTGAATTGCTCGCAACCAACTTTAGCAACGAGCACCGACATCTGTTCCGTGGCACTTCGATAGCGTTTGCCCACGAAGTAGCAAACGTCACCAACTGTCTCACGTCAGAACTAGTGGATACCACCAACACGTCAATGAGTAATATTGGCATCAATCCTGATCTGTCCACCGATAACCAGACTGCGCTACGAGCGCTCTTGTTCGAGTTTAGGTCTTGCTTCGAAGTTGCTCAATGATCCGCCAGACGTCTATCACTCAACACAGGATCATCACGTACGAGGACGCACGCCCGATACACCAGAACCCCTACCGCGTGTCGGCCAAAGAACATGAAGCCATACGTACGCAAGTCAACGAGATGATTGACGATGGCGTTATTGAACCATCTAACAGCCCGTGGTCATCTCCAGTCGCACTTGTCAAAAAGAAGGATGGGTCGCTACGCTTCTGCGTCGACTACCGAAAGCTTAACAACGTGACCAAAAAGAATGTGTATCCGCTGCCACGTATCGACGATTCGCTGGATAGACTTCGTCGTGCCCATTATTTCACTTCTCTCGATCTCAAAAGCGGGTATTGGCAAATCGAGGTAGATCAGCGAGACCGCGAGAAAACAGCCTTCGTGACTCCAGACGGCCTATACCAATTTCGAGTGCTCCCTTTTGGCTTGTGTTCAGCGCCGGCAACTTTCCAGCGAATGATGGACACTGTACTCACAGGGCTCAAGTGGCAGACTTGTCTTGTCTACCTCGATGATGTGGTGATCTTCTCTACCACGTTCTAGCAGCACCTTCACCACCTGCGCAGCGTGCTGGAGGCTATCCGATCAGCGGACCTCACACTAAAGCCACAGAAGTTCCACTTCGGCTATAAAGAACTAAAATTTCTTGGACATGTAGTTCGGGTCGGGCCGGAAGGAATCCGGCCCGATCCGGACAAGCTTGCCGCTGTTGCCGAATTACCAGCTCCTGTCGATAAGAAAGCCATCCGGCGCTTCCTTGGTTTGTGCGCGTACTATCGCCGGTTCATTCATGGCTTTTCACAGATAGCAGAACCTCTGACTCGTCTCACAAGGGACGACACGCCGTTTGGCTGGGAAAACGAGCAACAAGCAGCTTTTGATGAGCTGCGACAGCGCATGCAATCAGCACCCGTTCTCGCTCATTTCGATGATGATGCTGACACGGAGGTCCATACCGACGCTCGTAACATTGGGCTCGGTGCAGTGCTCATTCAGCGCCAAGAGGACGCCGAAAAAGTCATCGCGTACGCCAGCCGCTCTCTATTCCGTGCCGAGGCGAATCGTTCCACTACGGAGAAAGAGTGCCTCGCAGTCATGTGGGCAATCACAAAGTTTCGCCCGTACCTTTATGGTCGTCCCTTCAAGATAGTGACGGACCATCACGCGCTCTGTTGGTTGGCAAGCCTGCGTGACCCTTCAGGACGGCTAGCACGGTGGAGCTTGCGGCTGCAGGAATTTGATGTCACCATCGTCCATAAGTCCGGCCGTAAGCATGAAGACGCTGACACACTGTCACGCGCACCCCTTCATGTCGTCAGTCAGGAAGCAGAGGAAGACGAAGGCTTCCTGGGCGCCGTTAGCGCATCAGACTTGAGCATACGGCAGCGAGATGACGCAGAGATTTGTCCAATCATCGATCATTCAGAGGGCCAGGGCACTATCGTACCACGTCATTTATCCCACTCGTTGACGTCGTTCTGCCTGCGAGACGGTGTGCTGTACAAGAAGAACGTTCGTTCGAACAGCCGTGCTTACCTCCTGGTGGTTCCTCGAGACATGCGAGACGACGTCCTCTTCGCTTGCCATGACGAACCCACATCCGGTCATCTGGGCTACTCAAGGACACTTGCCAGAGTGAGCGAGAGGTACTATTGGCCAGGACTTTCAGCAAGCATCAAGAAGTACGCCAAGAGCTGTCGGGAATGTCAGCGCCGAAAGCAACCATCTGTTAAACCAGCCGGTTTGCTTCAGCCCATTGAAGCACCCTGCACGCCGTTCGACCAAGTCGGCATGGACATTCTC